TCGACGTTTAGCCCCATGTGGGGCCCCGCAGTTTTGTGTCGGTTTATAACACCCCTATTAGCTATAGTTATAGGTATCATAAACTATAGTTATTGAAGTTATTTGCACCAACTTAGCTATCATAAACGGGGGCCCCACATTCATGTGGCCAGAAAGGGAATCCTTATGGCTGTATCAATCTCTATGGATTGATGACCATGGAACTGAGAAGACCAAAATCGGATTAGCGGCTGGGACATGGGGATCCCTGACCTTTTTTTTTGGTGATGAGATGTGATGAGGCAAACATGATACCCTGAATTAAAGCTATCATCGGTGTTCGGAAGAACCATCAAAATCTCGAACCACTCTTGAACCACCCAAAATCTCGATGTTTAGCTCCCCGAAAAGAGTTCGGTCATGGGAAATCCCCTTCAAAATCGGCGTTTCAATGGGACATGCTGTATCATATACAAATAGGGATATCCAAATCACATTGGCAAAGGATCATGGCCAAGTGAGTTCATGTTTTAAGGCAAGTCACTGTGATTTGGCAAATGAGTCAGAATTGCCAAGGGCGGTAGCCCATCAGTCATCAACCACATTAGAAAGCACCTTTGAGTAACTTCATCATTGGGTAGAATTGAGTCAGGCACTAATTGCAACGACGATATCAGGGGATTATCAATTGCTTATTCCGCAGCCAGCACCCCACGGACAACTGGATGGAATTACTATCAACCTCTCACCAACACCAATCAAAGTGCCCTGACGAGATCTGACCAGTAGCGATTCCCCAGTATTTTCATCAGTAATTAAGTAGCCGTTGGATCGTGTACATGTTGATTCGGTTAACGTTGCGAATAACTCGGGCAGATTCATCACGACATATCACGACCAATGTCTACTTGCAATTGGGCCATGTTGACAGTAGATGTTGGTGAACAATTACCGTACTTGCACAATATGGGTAATCAGTCCATTCATGTCAACATCTACCCATACTATCCAAGTGACGTTTACCAGTCGTAATGTAGGCACGTTATTATTTCAGTTGCATAATGTAGTAAAATCAAGATTAGTCACGTATGCCATCGATAAAAAAAACGTGATTAATATTGGTTATACTAGATGATGTACTACATGATTAGTTTGCATTTGGAGAATCAATTTGAGTATAATCATGTGTATATATATATAAGATTCAATCATGTATACCCTCTGGTAATTCAACATCATGGAAAATCACTATTTTTAATGGGCACATGTGGATGTAAGTGAACATCGTTAAAAAAAAAAAACGCACAAAAAAAACTGATTGCGAATCGGTTCCACTGTGTTGATCTCCATTTACTCAGTAAAACCTCATACTCTAATCAATGTATTCATTTCGCTGGTCACTACCCCGCCTCAAATGGACAAACACATGACAGAACCATTTACCATGTGGAGTTTGGGATTCTCCAGTTATGAATTGTGGTAATCCCCACTTGTTCTTCATCAGTAAAATCCCAAAATCATCAGCCGGTCATCATTCATCAACTTGGTGACCTCATCAGTTTATTTTAATTTGATGATTATGATCTTCCTTATCCATAGTCCATTTAACAAAGATGGTTTAAATCATGGAATTAACCATCATGTTGAAACGATTTATCATCAACCCCCAACTCTACCTTAAATCAATCCATATCATTTAGTAAAATCCCCTATAACTAGTCTATAAATCATAGTTGTATCCCCATTTAACAACATCAAAACCCAAACGGCCATCTCAGCGCCTCACCTGGCTGACCTGGGAGCCGAGCTGTGGAGGTCCTGCGGAAAATAACAGCGACATGCCATTGAAACATATCCATATCATTCTACATCTATATATAGATGTAGTTCATTATACTTAACAACTAAAAATAATTTAGATATAAATCATCTATAAAATTATAGAAATGCAAATATGATCAACATCCATCGTTAGTTATCAGAATCAGAATATCATAGTTGGACCGAATAAATCAACCAAAATCAGAGGCGATGCATCTGATTGTCGGGCCTCGAAGATTCCAATGGACCTGAGACTTTGCTGATTCGGCTTCAACCATTGAAATCTAGAGATCAGGGCCACTTGGATTCCAGGGATTGATTGCAACATAATTACTAAATATATATATACATCTGTGTGTGTATTTTGCGTAATTGATATTGTAAATTGGATAATATAGATATTTATAGTTTAGGCTTATATATGGTTATATAATTATATCCGTTGTATGTACGTGACAACGTCATCAAATAACATGGAACGTACTAAAATCATCCCATTGGTCAAGTGCCAAATGTCGAGTGTTTGATGTGGGTGATCTAATTCTGTGCCCCAATCTGTGCTTGAAATGAGGTTGTACCGTAGGCCGTAGGCTTTAAAAAAAACTGGCGCAAACTATTTACGAGATATAAATAAGATGCGAGTGTCTGATATATCTGATGTGGGTGATCCAATTTTCTTGAGCAGTTTGCTTTGCCAAAAGTTATTGTAATTTCCCAACTTCAGCCCGAGCTCACGCATTTCGCGTCTCTTTGTCACAGATTTGAATCCTTCACAGACAAGAGTTGTAAAAAACAAATCAGCAAGCCAGAAGGATGCCCTGCATATCCAGACTCCGCAGACTGCTTGACAGTATTGGCAATGTTTCAATCACATTGGGTTGCAGTTGCCTCCGTTCGGGAAAACGATTTTTTGCCCAGAGTCAATTTTGAAGTTTGGTGGGCAGCGTCATATGTCTCAAACTTGCGTTAAACTCATCACCCACCAAACTTAAGCTTTGAAGACTGCCTGGCAAAGTGAGGCCCTCACGGCTCTGGTTGAACCGATTCCCAAATGTCAAGTTCTGCAGATTGGCTGGCCACGACACATGCTTCAGGCTCTGATTGAACTCATGACAAAAAGCCAAGTATTCAAGACTACTTGGCTAAGTCACGTGCTCAAGTTTCTGATTGAATCTATCTCCGGAAATCAAGCTTTGAAGATTGGCTGGGAAGATCGCATGTTCCAAGCTTTGATTGAAGTCATGACTGAAGGCAAGCTTTGAAGACGGGCCGGCCATGCTACTCGTTCTATGCACTAACTGAACTGATGACCTAAAATCAGGTTTTGAAGGCTGCCGGGCAACGTCACGTAATTAGTCCAGGCTGTGATTGAAATCAAAACCGAAAACCAAAATTTGAATTCCGTTCATTTGGCAATGACAAACGCCCTTCCCCATGAGAAGAAATTGTCAAACTCTTGAGACCGCTAGGGAACGTCACCTGCTCGAGGCTCTGATTGAACTCAGATTTCAAACTTAATGTCTGAAGACTATACTAGCCAACACCGCATCTTCCAGGCTTTGATTGAAGCTGTAACCAAAAGCTAAGCTTTGAAGATTGGCCGGAAACGTCGCATGTTCCAGGCTTTGATTGAAACCGTGCACAAATGTCAATGGTTGCCAACATACAGCCCCAAGCTCGCTCCAACATGCCCCTTGGGACATGTAGGTTGCCAACATACGGCCCCAAAGGCGGTCCAACAGGCCCCATAAGACCTGTAGGTTGCCAACATACAGCCCCAAACTTGCTCCAACATACCCCATGCTACCTGTAATTTGCCAACATACGGCCCCAAACTCGCCCAACATTCCCCTGTATGCTTGTGCGAGTTTGGGGCTGTTGGGCCGCCTTTGGGGCTGTATGTTGGCAATCTACATGTCCCATCGGATGTTGGAGCGAGCTTGGGGCTGTATGTTGGCAACCTACAGGTCCTATGGGGCGTGTTGGAACGGGTTTGGGGCTGTGTGTTGGCAACCACAGGTCCCACTGTGGCAACTTCACCCTTTCGAGCCCCTGGATGAATTCAAACCCGAAAGTCAACTCTTAAATACGGCTTGGCAATGCCACCCGCTCCAGGCTCTGGTTAATGCCAGAGCCAAAAGTCAAACTTTGGAGGCTGCCTGGCAGTGTCACACGCTCCAGACTCCAAGTGAACACAGCATCAAAAGACAACATGTGCAAACAGCGGGGCAAGGTCACCCTCTCCAAGCTTGTGTTGAAGCTATTTCTGATGGTCAAACTTTGAAGACTGCCTGGCAAGCTCATGCATTCCAGGCTTTGGTTGAACCTATTTCCAAAGGTCAAAGTTCGAAGACTGCTTGGCCATGTCACACACTCTAGACTCTGATCAAGGCTGTTTTCGAACGTCAAGTTTTGAAGACTGCTGGGCAAGGCCACACCTTTGAGCCTTTGAGGCTCTCATTGAATTCCAAATCAAAAGCCAAGCTTTCCAGCTCTTGCAAGGTCTGGTGGAATTTGAGCGCTGAAGCACCATGATGCAGGGCCAGTTTTCGACGTTTCCTGGATGCTAGTTGCTCCGAAACCATCCGTCGCACTTCCCGGCCAGAGGCGGAAGGGAGACTCTGACCGTCAATCCATCATTCCCGAGCCATTGGCCCCGGACGATCCAAAGGTAGCGCTGGAAGACATGGCAAGAAATTGCTGTGTGTGAAACTTTCCAAGCTCGTTGAGAATACAAACTGGGTGCAAACAGTGAGATGCAACATGACCAAAGAAGCTACTTATCTACATCACTGCTGGGTTTGGCATATGTTTGCAAAACATTTGCAAGACATTTGCACAACACTAGTCACATTGCAAAGACGAGCACTGGCATGTGCTCAGCCACATCTTGGACATATTGAAATTTGCAGCGGTTCTGGAGGTGGATGCAGGAATGGGTAGCCGGTTAAACATGGTTTATTTTATGGGTATGGTATGTATCAAAATTATCAATCCGTATGTATAATATATGGGTGATTTAGTAGTGCGCAAAAACAGAGACATTTTTTCTTGGGTCCATTGCATTTTCGGTATATGCTCGCAATCTGCTTCCATTAAAGTCATTAAAATCTCGTAGGGAAAAACGAACCAGAATGCAACCATGTGGACAAGCTTCAGAAAAAAATGCTTCGTACTCTTGCCTGCATTTCTTCATTGGTGGACAATTTGTTCTTAGCGGCGGCTCAATTCAATCAAGGAGGCTGCATTCCTGCCGGACAGCTTTTGTGGCTGCAACGCATTTTCAACTTATCCTTTAGCAGCCTGCAGGTGCAGACCCGGTACTTGTGACAGTGGTGTTTTCGATGGTGAGATCAAGCTGTGGTTTTGGCCAAAGAAAGCAACATCACAGAAAGCCGACTTTCAGCATCTCTCTGGGTTCATCAAATGTGTCCAGGGCGACCAAAATCCTGAGACTTCATGCAGCGCACTCTTGGCCACGGCAACAGCGACTTGATGTAGTTGAAGTTGTCGATCGATCATTCGATTCCCCAGCGTGGAGTTTTTGCTGCGTACTCTCGCCATTCCTTGAAAATCTGCGGGAGTTGGGAAGAAGTTCTGGTGTGGGCTGCAAGTGTTCATCCGCCTACGCTTTCCAAGACCATTTAGTATAATCATGTATAATCAAGTACCTGTTGAAACAACATGTAGCCTCCAATACTCAAACATGTCACTTGGAAATCCACTTAAGCTATGGTGTTTTGCTTGTTTTCCCAGCTACAAAGCTTCATGTATAGAGGACTTTCCAGCCACCTTTGATTACCGGATAGATCGCTGCTATAGATTTCTGGATGAACATGGATGAAACCTAAAGGAACTCACCAGTGCTGCAAATATTTCGCCACCCCAAAACCAGAAACGACAAGTGGAAATGTAGCCCTCTGGTAAACGTTTACAGTTTGCGAACTGGAAAATAGCCCAGTCGAAATAGTTGAGTAAAACCCAGCTATAAAATGGTGATTTTCCATAGTTTTTTTGTATGTTTACCAGAGGGTAAATCAGAAAAATCTATGACACGTAGATAGGGATGAACTACAACATCTTGATCATGTTTCCATCGCAGTCTATGTTTTAGGGATGCAAGAATACACTGGGAACGCGTCAAACACCACCCTGGTGATGGTGAACACCCGAAATGACAAACGGTCGTCATGCTATGTCATGTTGGGATGTAAATGCTATTTTGTTGTGGGGTTATTTATCGTTTTTGACCTGTACTCGTATGAGTTTATCTCAAAATACAGGATCATCACATTTCCAAATAAAGTTGTATTTTTGGAATAAATATTCATAATTTTCTGCAACTACACCCATACAAGTATCATATGAATCATATGGTTGTTCTTATAAAATTATATCCAACTATCCCCAGCAAAAAATCCCAGTAATATCCCAGTTACATCTCACGTAAACCACCGGTCATCAGCGAGCTTCATCCGGAAACTCCGCTTCCAAATACCTTTCCTCCAAGGGAACGACGTAGCCGCCCACATAAGCAATGAAGGGAATGGACATGATGCCAGCCCACCACGTATTCCTGGCTCTGAATGGCTGGGATGGGCTGTGCTTTTTAAACATTTTATGGTTTCAAAATGTTCAAATCATGGCTTTTACCATTAAAGATTCGGATATATACCATTTGAAATACGGAAAAACTTAGTTGATCCAAAGAAAACAGACGCAGAAGAGACCCAGTGAGGCAAACATGGCCAGATTAAGGACACTTATAATCATGAACTCGTCTCCTGCCGGCAGCTATCCCTGGGAGGGCAAGGCTTGACAGTTTCACCCAGCCAACTGTTCAGCATCATAGATAATCTGATTGAAATTCATGGTATATGATGGTATTATACGATATTATATGTATCTAATTTATCTAATCCAGTAATTAACCCATATTACTGAATCATGGGTATTATATGTCCATGTTCAACCCCAAAGCAGGGATTTTTCGTCGACGTGCTTCCTGCAGAGTTTTTCGATGGATGGAGATTGCTGTCTGTAGATTACATCTATCCCCCTTTTTGTTGGCTTATGAATCCCATGGAAAATCACTAGTAATGTTACCCTACTCTTAGTAAAGCAACAAGAAACCCTCCATATGGTCTATACCACCCATCTAATTATAGATATCATAGTAAATTGTTGGAACTGGTTTACTCATTTTCCTACTACTTTCCTAAGACGATTCCAAAACTTCATCCCTCCAAGCGTTGTTTTCTGTCACCGGCGCCACCGCTGTCACCGTCGCCACGGCTCTGGAGGATGCCCAGTCCGAACATGGTCAGCAACATCCCAAGGTACATCGGATGACGACCTTGGAAAGCCCATGTGGGGACATAGGCCTGAAAAAAACTGGGGCCTCATATATGTATATGGTCACCGACAGAATTATGGAAAAAAAAAACGTTCAACTTAGACAGGCGGCGCCTGCATCCGATTTTTCCATAATTGGATTTTTCCCCATAAGGGTTCAAAATATCCCGGAAGTGATCCGAACCTTTTTTTTTTCCATAATTCCTGGAGGTGGCCATTATTTCCATAATTGATTTTTCCTGTGAAATCAGGGGGCTAGGGCAGATTGACCAGTTTTTCCATAATTATGTTTTCCGATGTTTTCCATAATTAATGTTTGGGGCTCCACCTGTTGGACATGTCATGGATCCACAATTCAAACCCGTTTTTTTTGGGGGTTATGGAAATATGTATGCAAATGCAAGTATGTAGTATCAACCCAATTGGTGGCTTGGCAAAGGAAACATCCAGATATTATGTATATCAATGGCAGGTTTTAGGGGCATATACCAGATCTTTAGACACATATTTTCTATAATTCAATATTCCCCCTTAAAATGCATTCAAAATGCGAACATCACATGATATTATGTATATCAATGGAAGACTTAGGGGCATATACCAGATCTTTAGACACATATTTTCTATAATTCAATATTCCCCCTTAAAATGCATTCAAATTGCGAATCGATGGACATACAGTCACCGACAGAATTATGGAAAAAACATAATTGGAAACAATAATTATGGAAAAAAAAGGTTCGTAACTTTTCTATCATAGACAGGCGGCGCCTGTAAATTGAAACTTTTTTTTTCCATAATTCTGTCGGTGACTGCAATGTTGATTAATGATGATTAATGTGGTATGTACCCGTATTGCCGATTTAACACGTTGTCTACATTTTCGGGGGGTAATAATGGTAATACAAGACAACAATCGACAGAATTGTGCAAAAAAAAGAGGTTAAAATAGACAGGTGAAGTGGTAAGTGCTCAGTGCTTGCGCCACTGCTTTTGGTCTAAAAGACTTAAAGAAGTCGAGTGGCACTGCGCGTAGGGACCGTCTACGACCAAGTACCGCACTTGGTGTCCGTGGGCTACTGGCGAATGCTCTGCAAGCACGTGATACATAGCTTTGTATGAATACCTCAATGGACCGGCGAGGATGAGTTGCATATGTTGCATAGACAGAAGAAAGTCGATGAACCTAAAAGGACGTGTTTGTATATTCAGGCAACAGCAATGGCTGATGCAAATGTGCTAACAGCATGTCTCATCCACCTCGCAAAACATGGTGACATAGAGCTCTCGCGGATGCAGGAGGGAGTCTGCAAAACAACACAAGTTACACCAAGCAACTGAGAACTTCTGGGACAGCCACACCCCATTTCTGAGCTGGTTCTCAGGGTCCCAGTCTGGGATTCAAGATGGAACCTCCCCCCCAAACAAAAAAAAACCATCCTCCATAGATTCCCCATACAACGGAAAAGAACAAATACACCGACTGAGAAAATCCAAGTTATCCCAGATATTCATATTCCAATATTATCATATAATATCATATAATATCCCAGTAATAATGGGTGATTCCAGATTTTCATATATTTTCATAGGCTTTCAAACTGGGGATATTCATAAAATTCTTCCAAGATCCCCATAGAAACCCTATGGACCATGGAATATCCCATAGGGCCATAGGGTCCCCCACATCTTGCCATGCTGCCAGACCCCAGCAGCAGCAGCCACTGCTCCCCCACCACGCAAGCCGATCATCAAACGTCGAGGAAAGCGATTTGGGGGAATCCTCAGAAGCCCATAGATCATTTCCAAGGGAAACTATGCATTTTCCATAGATCATTATATATATAATATAATATATATATATACACGTATTATATGTATATATGTGATTATATGTGTATATATATATATTATATGATACTATATGTATAATATATCTGTGTTAGTTTACAGCAGGCTAGATGCTTCATGATGCTTTTATTCTTCGAACATGCTGATTTTCAATTGGCATGATTAGCAAATGGTATGCATTGATGAGATGAAACCAAGTCACCAAGTCCACGCATGGACGATTCCGATAGATTCTCATAGGTCCTTGCAACATGTTGAAAATATTTGAAAATATTATCTATCACATATGATTCGGATCAATCATGCCAGTTATTTATGAAACGATAGCAGTAGCATGATCAAAACATATTTAGCATTACTGTACTATGATCAACCATTATCAACTATAATCAAATAAAGGGCCTGCGACTTGACCCTCCGGTCATGTACGACAGCTCACCATTTCTCCCCAATGTTGCGTATGATCCCTAGTTGGGTTGACAGTTGAATTACAGTAACGATCCCCATATTGGGCACTTGATGTTCCCAATGCGTATCACATTGGAAGACCTTGAAGATCTTACTGTAGCTGGCCCCATCCATAATAGAACCTGCTTTACGTGGCTTAGGTTTTGCTAGGATATATGCGTACATTGATCCTGACTACAATAACCCTGGCTTATGACTATAGTAAATCATATCTGATACCGCGCCTGTAATGTAGAATCCAGTATACCTCAATGTTCCAATCTCCTGCCACGGTGGAGTTTAGACACACTGGCCCCAAAAACCAGCAGGGCATCTAGGCTTAGCCAGGAAAATGCTGAAAACACTGGCTGGTGAGTTTAAACTTTTAAACATTTGGTGTCGAATGCAGATCAATAAACCCCTGGTAGTTTGACTTAATTGAGGGATGCTGAATTCTGTATACAGTATATAGTAGCAAATCAGCAAATTCTGGAGGACAATCCCTGTATTGAATCAACCAAACTTCACTAATCCGGGGTTGACAGTACTCCAACCCATTTTTTTTTTCGAAATTTGATCAACACATAAAGCTAGGAGCACAGAATCATGTGAGAATCTGTTAGAATGTCAAGATTATGCACCCTTCAGTCCAGTCAATGGAAACTCCCCACTGCCAATGGGTCAACCATCCATCCCCCTTCCATGGATTGCCAACACCAGGCATACTGGGCTCAGCGCTGGGCCAAGTGACAAGCTCAAAGGCCGTATCAGCAACTTGAGGAGTCCCGCCGATGCAATGCACGCCTCGGGATGCAGCTTGGATGCAGCTTGCAGCCAGGTGGGTGTTGATTGTGTTGGGCACAGATTTTTTGGGGGGGGAATTAAGGCAGTATGCAGCATTCTAACTCATAATCTCGGATGAGAACATGTCAAGGCCAGATTAGTTACAGTACAGTACTTAGCCTCACCAGTTCACCTTTCCCAACCGACAGGTTGTGACAGGTTGCCAGAAACAACGGTGGTGGTGGCATGGGCACCAAAATGCGATTGTCCTTTGGAGCGAAGGCCGTGACATCTTCGGGTCGTGAAAATGCACGTCCCATGGCAAGCTTGGCTGGTCCCAGATCATCCCAGAGCTGTGCAAATTTGGAACATACCCTCTGGTAAACATACAAAAAACTATGGAAAATCACCAGTTTCAATGGGTAAATCCACTATTTCTATAACCATTTTCAATAGCTATGTTAAATTACCAGAGGGTAACTCAATACAGAACTGGAACCACCAAGCGATGTTCGATTACACCGAGCGCTTTGCATCACTTTGCTACATTGCATAAATTGATATAAATTGTATTAGTTTTGCTTTGAGCCACAGCAAGTCTGGGTGCAGTGACACAACTGTCGAAAAAACGATCGTGCAAGGCATCACATCTTCTGAGTTTTTTGGTACGAAAGTGCTGCCTGTTCCCCAAGTGGCCATTGGAATATAATGTTCATAGGCTAAAAGATGAGAACTCATCAATTTTAGAGGTACCCATATTATATTTTCAGACAACCCCCATATGACCTCTGATATCTCTGACAGAGAAAGCTGACAAGAAAAATCCGCCCTGAGCTTTCCAGCTGTGATATCCCGCCAAAGAGGTTCGGGTGCGCCTTGGAAATAGCCTGCAGGCCACGAAATAAATGGCGATGATATCAAAAGCAGTTGGCACAGTGATGAAATCCATTTATCCAGTGATGGTTATTGATATAATGATTATCCATTTATGATCCATTTAATGGTGATTGCAGTGATGAAACACATTTGATGATTATCCAGTTATGGACCAGTGATGATTGATGGCATTGAACCAAGTCTTTTGGTCGTTCAGAAAGGGCCGTTCCGTGATGGAAGGGGTTCATCGATGATAATTTGTAGAGATACCTAGGGTATCCTAGGGAGTCATGTGCAACACCTTGGCTCCTGTCTTCATAACCTGAAATCTTCCGACTTCTCTTGCTGAATTGTTGCTGCTAGAGGCTCATTGTCTCATATGAGTCAATGAATAAAGCAAAACACATGTTGCTTTGCTATGCACAACCCACCCAACAGTTCTGAAAGCCAAGATTGCGCAGATCAAATATTGCAAGCTGCTACCGTTGTTGCTTCATTCTACCATTTACATGCGGACAACTACACGTTCTACTGGCGAATCGCCCACTTTCAACACAGGCATCTGCGGAGATTGCCATCCACGTGCATCATCGGATGTAGCCACAATTGAACGGTTTGATACTCGCTATATCTCGCTATGGTCCGATACTGTCAAAATGTATGGACCCAAGGTTTTGCATGTTGACCCCTACCCACATGAATCACATCATCGGGCAAATTGTCATCATTCTCAAATCAGACATGATGAGGTTGGCACGACTCTTTTGCCAGAAAGATGGACCAACCAACATGATACTTGATGATTAAATTAAAATGGCACAACATTCCCTATTTTGTTTTACAGTATCATGATATCCCGTTGATGGTTTAGTATCCCATTCTCAATCCCCATTTTATTATATCATGAATGGTCTTGTCTATTCCATTTAAAGGTATATACAGTAATATCCCATTCAAAAAAAATCTTAGAATCTTAGTCCCCACTATGAATATATACATCTATATATTAAATATATATATATATGTAACATATATCCCATAGGATCCATGTATGCTATATATGGTAACATGGATCCCATCAATATACCCCCTTTATGTTAGCATATATATATATAGCATGGCTTTTCCATGGCATGTCAGCCGTCCCCACTGAGGTGTTTTTCCCACTGAGGTTCCAAGCCCGCGTCTGCTGCCGCGAAGCTCTTGCAGCAAGGACGATGGAGTTTCTGGAGCCCAGGCGGATGGTTCCAAGGATATTGGTGGAGATGTGGATATCAGGATTAAATGGGAATATTGTGGCCATATTGTGGGCATATATATAATGATATAATAATATATATATAATCATAATATATATATATATATAATCATAATATATATATATAGTATGATTAATTATATATATATTATGATTAATTATATATATATATATAACCAAACAAAACTACTAAGCATCGTTTTATGGGAACAAAATGGGAATGTAAATGGGAATATAATGGGATATTGCGGATATATCATGTGGATATGATTGGGATATAATAGGGATATCATGGGAATATCACGGGAATGTAATGGGCCCGGGATATAATTGCATGACATGGGCTATGATGGCTTGTCAATTGATATCCTCTGGGTACATGAAACCCTCTATCAATGGCCCGAGAGGATGGGTATATCAATCACTATCATGTGGCCAAGTGGCGGTAGATTCCTGGGATTCTCTGGTCGACCCATTGATCATTTCCTTATGGCTCATGACTTGACTAACTGGGTAATCGTTTGGGACGGACATCAACCAGTACAATACACGTCTTGTTGAGCTGGGTTTGTCCGTCAAGATCCCACTGTTTGTCATATAGTCCCATGGTTTTCCCTAATTTTGCCACAAAATTGCAATTTCATATGGGGGTAATGATCTTCATTTTTTGGGGCCAACCCGGCCGTTGTTTGGCCATCTGGGGCCCTCGGGTGGCATCTCCTTTCTGACTGGCTTCAGGACTCGGAGACACCTCTGGAGGAAGGCTTCACCAGCTTATACCAGCTTTGGGAGATTTCTACAGGCTTTACCATGGTTTAGCCCTATAAATGATGCTAAAACACATGTAAAAAAAAACAAGGGGGTCTTGCATGTTGCGCGAGATTGTCCCTTCGACCAAGTGAGATATAAACCATGCATAAGGTGAAAATCTGAGTCAAGTTCAAAGACAGAACAAGTTTCATCCGTTCTTCTCCAACGTATGAAAAACAAAAACAACAACACGACATGCATGTTAAACCTTTCCTACATTGCTGAGTTCATCTGCAATGAAAATATGCAAAATGTCACCGATTTCGAAAGCCATGGCACCTCTCGAGGGGTACTGATGTCCACCGGCTCCAAAGCAGCCCGGGCACGGGCCACCTGCGATGCGCACATCCCTTCAGCGGAAAAACCATTGAAATTCGTGAAAGAACAGCTGGAACACCTCATGGTTCATGTTTATTATTGTGGTTGAGTTCTTTGATATGGTTGATGATTTGACAGATTTGATTTTGATTGATTTTGTTCTATATTCTATAGATCTCAAATGGTTGATGGTTGATGTTAAAGTAAGATATGGTTCTTCTGGGATGAATTCACTACCCATGTTCCTGGGAAGCCACGCTGAACAAAAAATAGGGTTGATTGAGGATATGCAATTATCTTGATGTCGGGTATGATCAAGTATGCAATCGGGATTGAAACAAATGTACCGTAATTGGATACAATTAATACAATGATGATGCATGAGTCTATTTACAAAACTATACTTATTCTGAACTTTGTATAAACATATTAATTACAGATGTTCATGTGGGTTTAGCTTGAATCCCATGTTTTGTCGTCATTTCCCCGCATGAAGATTGCAATAAACAGTGGGCCCTGTATTCAAGTGTTGAATTCCTCTTCTGCCAAGCTGACCAACATAGTCAGGTATCACTCCCACCTCTGACCAATCAGAGCAAATGGAACCGCTCCAATATGAACTCCTGCAAACAGCTGATATTCATCCATGGGCGGATTCAAACTATCATCCAACATGCGTGACTACTATATCTTCATGATCTTCATGGAAGAAACTGTGCGTTGCAATTTTCTGCTCATCCTAGATACCTGTACCTTGCAAGAAACACAAACTGAAACACTTCGTGTGAAGGGAACAATCCCCAAATATCTGGGCAAGCTAGGGCCGGCCCTTGTCAGTTCGCTGTTGTGTAGCCAGTTGCTCATCCCCCCAAATCAGATAGACCCTGATAAAACAATCATCAATTCTTGTAGGAAGCTAGTCTTTCAACCCCCAAGTCGGACCAGAGTCTATGTCTATGTTCGGATCGCAATCTCGTCATTGGTCACCAGAGCCCATGGGGCATCCCATCAAATTCCAAACACATGCCCCATTTTAGATGCCTAAATTCCAGTAAATCCCATCAATGTTAGGTGGGGATGGATGGCAAAACACTCTCTACTCACCTAGAAAAACCTTCAGGTCTGTCCTGGAGGCAACTTCCGCAGCTTCATCTTCAGAAGCCTTGTTCACCTGGCGATGAAAGGCAAACAAGATGGATATTTTTTTTTGGAATTCTAGGAGTATAACCTACCAAACATGATACGTGGGGGAATCAACAATTAAAGCATTACCTATAATATGGGTGCGGGTCATCAAGAGATCGAATGTTCCCATCTACAAGTCCTGTTACCAAACGAAAACAGCTTAATGTGGTAAAACCAAGAAGCTAAGAACCCATTCTTCTAAGATTGCCATTTTTTTACACAAAACAAAAACCTGTTTGTGATGTGGTACTTCCATAGGTCCATGTCATGTTATCCAACTGTGAGGCCATCAACAACTGTGAGGCCGTCAGGCCTGTGCGATCAGGTGCACTTCCTCCTCGCGTAGGCCTCAAAGGATGGAGATCAGGGGAAGACTCCTGGGAAAATTGGGCTTTTGACCATTGAACATTGGTAAAACATGGTGAAACATGGGGATTTAACCATCAAACATGGTTAAAATTGGGGGTTTTAGCATCACACATGGTAGAAAGTGGAGGGTTTTGCTGATTTATATAACCATGAAACACATGGCTATTAAACCATCAAACATGTAAATATAATATATCTTATCCAAGCGTCATAATTGTATTTTCATCAACAATCAGGATTTCAGCAATATGATATGGCTATGGGTCAGTTCACCCATGGTTTGCCCCGGGTTCTTTTACCCTTCAAATAGCTTTCATTTATGGATGTTTATCCAAAATATGGTATGGTAGAGTTTTGATCCATCCAGGTCTGTCCAGAGATGGGAGAGTTAGGGGATAAATTTGATGATTAATGATCATGAACCACTGGATTACAGCAGGATACAGCAGGTATATACTCCATGTACCATCATCTTTCAAGAACATCATCATCGCCTTTGAAAAAAGGATGACAGTTTTACCCTCTGG